CTATGATAGTAAACTGACGTAAAGAGTGGATCAACTTATGCACGCTTATTTCTTTATTCTCACAATTCATCATGGTATCTTGTGGGTTCACCTAGTTTGGTTGTTTATTTATTTTCATGATTTACCAATAGATCAAAACAACGTTTTTTTAATCAAAAAGCTATGTACTACACTCAAATGTATGTAATTCACCTAAAGTGAAATAGAAATCTGAACTCCCATATATGCATCTAACGGAAACTTGTATATCTAGACTACGCATTGATCCATACTAACAAATAAAAGTCTAATTATAAAATTATATAGAGTGTAATTATAACAAAGTTTTACCCACACAACTAATTGAAATATTTTGGTGTATGATAACTTAACAAACAATTAATACATGGCGTAGTAGTAAGTAGAGGAAGTCAAAAAGGACAAAAGTTATAACTATATAAGCCTCTTTCCGTATCTCCAGTCTTACTAGCATGTTTGGTTAGTGTATTTTTTGGATTGGAAACGGATTCGATTAAATCGATACCAATAATAGTATTGTACACCCGGATGCACCATGCGCATGGTGCACCCAGAAGGTAGAAAGAATATGCTTTTATTTGACAAAGAACATACCGTGTATGACAAAGAACATACTTATATTTGACAAAGAACATACCTATGTTTGATAATATGTTCTTTAACATATGTTGATTAAACATGTTTTTTGGGTTTCAATAATACAAAATATGTTCTTTAAATTTGGTTCGTATGTTCTTTGAACTTGGCACGTATGTTCTTTGAGGTAATGAATTCTTTAATGTATGTTCTTTAGTTTAAGTTCATTAACATATGTTTTTTAACTTATGCTCTTTAACGTATGTTCTTTAACTTATGTTTTTTAACATATTTTTTTTAATTAATTTATGTTCTTTTAGCATATGTTATTTTGAATTTTGAAATTTAATTTTGAAAATAAAATCTTGAATTACTTTTAGTTGAAAATGATTTTGGAAAGTTAAATTTTTGGAGAGAGAGAAAACTATTTTTGGGGAATTGATATCTTCGATAAAGATTTTTTCCGTTAATGTATATTTTTTCATGAAATTTTAATAAAGTTTTTATTATGTTCTTTTTGTAATGTCTTTATGTTCTTTAGTAATGCATGTTCTTTGTTAAAAATAAACATGTTTTTTTTCAAACATCTAAATGTTCTTTTTCAAACACCTATTATTTTTTCCTCCTTTTTTTTTGTTTAACCGGGTGCAACATGCGCATGGTGTACCCGGGTGCACAGACCATCATTAGTTTGGCCTGGTTAGAAGGCTTGGTAACAATTATTTTGTTAACTCTAAAAAATTTAAGGTAACAAATACCCTTACCCTCCTCAAACACAAACAAAAGGGAGCAAAGTTTAACTGATTTCTTTTCATGGTCAAACCAAACAAATAAAAAGGTAATAGTTAAATAATTCCTTCCCCCCTCTTATTTATTACCTTTTCATTCCGTTTAAATTATCCGAACCAAACACCCCTAAATCTTTTAACTTACATATGAATTAGTGAATTACGAAGAATTTTACAATTAGCTCCAAGATGTAAAGTTATATTTCAAATTAATATTCAATACAAATCAGTTATAGGAAGCAATATTATATTGTAATTTTGTAACAAGGATCTCAATATTTCTAATTGTGTATTTATGATCTTCTTATTTATACTCCCTCCAAAAATAAATGAATAAATCTTCATTATTAGGCCCCGTTCACTTCACCTTATTTTTACTGAACTGAAATTATTTTTACTGAACTTGAATTATTTTTACTGGACTGAAATTATTTTTACTGATTTTCTATTATATTTCTTTTTTATAGTTATTGAATTTTACTGAACTGAAATTATTTTTACTTAATATTTTTTTTTAAGATGAAGTGAACAGGGCATTAGTTTGTAGTTAACTTGCATTGATTTATTTCCAAAAAAAAAAACAATTGATTTGCTGGAAATTGCGTCTAAAGGTTGGCATAGCAGAGCAACTAATATCTGAATATTTAACTACCTTAATCTTAATACCGTACCGCAACATTATCTAGCCAACTAATAAGATGTATTAGTATATATCTAAAAAATCAATGAAATTCTATAAAACATGATCTCTAGTCGATCAAATGTCAAATTATGAGATAATCATAAATAATTAGTTAGCTGTTAGCTAGCATATTATCAAATTAAGTTAAAGCTTGCTCAAGATAATCTATATTATTACGCCATATAATATAATTATACAAAATAAGCTTGTTTACAGACAGCTTATACCGTATTAAGGTGTTTTGTTTAATACTAATACATACTTCGTATTATTAGTTCTCGTTTGCATTAGAATCAATTACGCATTTACGCGTCTCGCTACTTTAATATTAATCGTACATAGTCCTAACAGTCCTAACAAGTAACAACCTCAATGCATGATAAATTATTTTGTTAAATGCATGGCTGCTAACAATAACATTATTCAGTTATTGCTGACTGCTTTTTACGAGTTGGCAAATTGCCTTCAATATTAGACCTAGAGGTGATCATTAGATCATGGGTTGGGTTTTGGTTAAATTGTGTCCGAACTCACTATTTCATGCCAAATCAGGCCAGTCCAAAATTTGGGCACATAAAATTTGTTCAAACCATGACTTTGATCAGATCAAGGTATTAGACATGGTAGTTCAATACTTCAACGGGTAAAAGGATTAAGTCAAAATTAAAATGTTTTATTTTTTTTTAGATATTGTCTTATTAGTCACGGTCAGAACAAGGATAAAATGAAATTCAAGAAAGTTAGTTCCGATAATGTACTTTCTTATAACACATGCTAAAAGTTTTAGGGTTAGGATTGATGGAGGTCTCCCATGGGAAATAGTTAAGAAGGGGAAAGGGGAATTCAATACGACGAATGATGGAGGTAAAGAGAGAGATACCATGTGATCTTTTTTACATGGACAACTTAAAATTTTTTTATGTTAAATGTTGATTTTGGCATACAAAAAGTTTGAGTACTCTATATAACTCATAGATGAGCTATTTAATTTTATTACGAGCAATTCAAGAACAAATTTCTATCACATAAGCCATAAGGTGAGTTAGGTAACTATCAAAATTGTACCGAAGTACATGAGTTATACAGTACAGAGTACTATATCATGGACTCGGATCATGTTTCGCATCCTAATGTTAACATTTACTCCATACTTCGAAAATTACAAACATTTTTGTTGTACTTCAATTTTCATTTAGTTGTTACAATAGCAAATTAGCAATATTTGGCTAATGAACGATTGATTCTAAGTGGCTAACTTTTTTTGACAATATAAATCAGGGTCATTGGCCATAAGTCCAAATTATTCTCAATGGCCCAGATATCTTAAACACAGCCCAAATATGGTACAAAGCAGATTTTTACGGGTCAACCTAACTCCAGTTAGCGGCAGCGGAATACGCTCTATTGGTACAGAGGTCGAAGTGTCGAACCCTCTCCTGCCTCTACTCTTCTCACTATATTCTCTGTTATGCTCTCTTTCCACGACTTCTACTCAAGTACTCGACAATTTTCCGGCGACCACCGATAAAATTGCAGATCATTATTTAATTCCCTAATCAGGTAGTCTTTTTCTTTTGTTGGCATGTCAATTTCAACCAGATTAAATTTGAGTGCTTAATTGATTGAGGGCTATTGTTGTTGTTATTCTTGTGTGTGCTAAATTAATAATAATGTAGATAGAAATTCACAAACTGTTCATTACCTATTTTCAATTGATTCTGCCTTGGTTAATTTGATAATGGGGGATTATTTGCTTTTAATTGTTCCTGTTTTGGTTGATTGGTAATGGAGCATTGCTTGCATTCAATTGTTTCTATTTTGGTTAATTGGTAATGGAGAATTACTAGCTATCAGTTGTTTCTTGCTGGGAAATTTGATAATGGAGGATGATTGTAGCTTCAATTATATTCAGGAAGAGTAAAAACTTAATGGGTCTAATTTTGGTATATATGTATTATGGGTAACTATATATGTATGGAGGGTTGTGATTATCTCAACTCTACAATGTAGGGTTTCAATCCACCTCTACAGGCCAAAAAGGAGAAAATAGAGTTAGTATAAATTTTTGATTTTTTTTAGTTAGATTGTTTATTTGATTTTGAGTTGAGAGGTGGAAGTTTGTTACTCTCACATTGAATATTAGTGTTCCTATATGTCATTTTGTATAATTACATCGAAGATCGAACAATTAATTGTCAAATAAGATAAAGTGTAAATTAAATTGGAAAAGAGAGAATTAAATGGTACTCCGTACCATTTGCCTAATGACTCCACCTTGTAGGCCTCCTTATACACAAGCCTTTCAATTTCTTGATTTCCATTTGAAGTTACTTTTAGGATTTTCAATGAGTTATGAACCTTAGCAGGGAGTAAATTGCCAGGTTGCTAGCTTTGTATTAAGGTTATAGAAATTTAATTGAACTAGAGAATTGAATTACTAATATGTTTATACATAACAATCATATTTGTCTGTGAATGCTCTAATACATCCATTTTTTGGTACAATAATTAAAAAGCTGCAAACTAAAATTGAAACGTACATCACTAGAAGAGGCTGTTGCTGCTATAGCCTTTAGCATTGTAAAGATTTGTGCTATAGAAACCAGCCCCGGCCGGGGTTAGCTGCCATGGACACCCCAATTAGCCCTATAGAAACCAATCTTAATCGAGTAGGTGAATGGTAGAGATGAATTTGGGGCTGGTTGATCATATGGGTGACCATGGCATGAAGCCATGAACAGCTATTTTTAGTTCCTTTCTTAGATTGACATCGAGTAGTCTAGTGATTTAAAGAAATTTATGGAGGTGAAGGGGTTGATATAGGCATGGTGTTTAGACTAGTGTTAGGTGGTGGAAGACTAGAAGGGTTTATATCTACGCGTAAATGATTGGTGCTATGGTATGGGGTTCAATGGAGGTGTAAAAATAGCTCAGGAATGGATGTGGGTGGTGTAGGAATGGGTGCTGGTGGTGTATTTGGAACGGGGGTTGGTGGTGGTGAAACAGTTGGTGTTGGTATCGGTGTTGGTGGTGGTGATAAAGATGGTGAAATTGGTGCTGGTGGTGGTGATAAAACCGGATCCACCGGTGGTGGTGGTGAGGCTAAAGGTGGTATTGGTGTAGGGGGTGGTGAAGAAATTGGTACTGTTGGTGCTGGCGGTGGTGATGATATTGGTACTGTTGGTGCTGGCGGTGGTGATGATATTGGTACTGTTGGTGCCGGCGGTGGTGATGAAATTGGTACTGTTGGTGCCGGCGGTGGTGATGAAATTGGTACTGTTGGTGCCGGCGGTGGTGATGAAATTGGTACTGTTGGTGCCGGCGGTGGTGATGAAATTGGTACTGTTGGTGCCGGCGGTGGTGATGCAATTGGTACTGTTGGTGCCGGCGGTGGTGATGCAATAGGTACTGTTGGTGCCGGCGGTGGTGATGCAATAGGTACTGTTGGTGCCGGCGGTGGTGATGCAATAGGTACTGTTGGTGCCGGCGGTGGTGATGCAATAGGTACTGTTGGTGCCGGCGGTGGTGATGCAATAGGTATTGTTGGTGCCAGTGGAGGTGATGCAATAGGTATCGTTGGTGCTGGTGGAGGTGAAAAAATAGGTATCGTTGGTGCTGGTGGAGGTGAAGCAAATGGTATTGTTGGGGTCGGTGGTGGAGGGGATGCCAATGGTAGTATTGGTGTAGGTGGTGGAGAAAAAGGGATTGGTGTTGGTGGTGGTGATGAAATTGGTAGTACCGGTGCAGGTGGAGGTGATAGAAGGATTGGTGCTAGCGGTGGTGATGCAAGTGGTGGTGGAATGATTGTTGGCGGTGGAGATGCAACTGGAGGTGGAATGATTGTTGGTGGTGGTAATGCAAGTGGCGGGTAAATGATTGTTGGTGGTGGTGATGCAAGTGGCGGTGAAATGATTGTTGGTTGGGGTGGTGGTGATGCAAATTGTGGTGGAAATACAGGTGCTGGTGGTGTTAATTTTGAGATATCTGGTGGTGCTGGCGAAGATGGTGTTAATGGCAGTGGTGGGGAGAGAGCAAATGGTAGTGGTGGTGACAATAATGAAGGTGGTGGCAAAAATGGTGGTGATGGTTGTGTAGGTGAAGATGGAGCTACTAAGGGTGGTGGCGGAGAAGGTACTAAAGGAGGAGGAGGTGGTAACGCAAATGGTGAAGGAGTCACCGATGGAGGTGGGGGAGATGGTACAAGAGGTGGCATTATAGGTGGAGATGGAGTTATGGGGGTTAATGGTGGTGGCACTGGCGGTAAAGGCCTTTGTCTTGGCAAAAATGGGTTATTAGATGAAGATCGATCAAATGGCCATTTCCCACAGCTACCAAAAAGATACTGGTAGAAGGGATCACAACTAGTGTTTGCATTGGTCTTACTGCCCTTTGATTTATGATGATGAGCACTCTCACCTCTGCCTTTCTTACTTTTACCACTAGGTGCTCTCTTCTTTGGCTCTTTGTTATGTTTATGTGTTCTAGCCTCTGTGAATGTCTGAGTGATCAAAAGTAATGCTAGAAATATTATTATTAGTATATTTCCTTTCATAATTGAAAACTTTGGGGCTGTGCCAAAACTTTGCTTCTTCACTGCTCTATTTATAAGAAAAAATAAAATTCTCGACAATTGTAGAATACTTTGAACCAACATTAATGTGAGAATTGATTAGGATTATGTAGCTCTCTGAAGTTGGGAATTCAATAGGTATGGTTTTACACAGTAGCACAGGCAACTGGCAATAAGGCATAGACAAAGGCGCTAGAACAAAATTAATTCTGTTATTTTGGATAGAAATGCCAACCATGTAGCCGCCCTACTGTGGTTGTAGGCGATGAGAGATTGAAAATATACAGACCCAATGAATGAGGAAGTCCTTGTATTGTGTGCCTTTTCCACGTAAAAGTCCACTTTAAAAACTTCAGTTTGTGGAATTTGCAACTAGCTTCATTTTTGACTTACTGTATTGCCAATAAATTATAATGCTAGTTTTAAGGAATGCCTATCTTGTGAGTTGTGGCTTATCTTTAGCGATTTATATTTAAGAAATAATAGTTATGTGAGATTTTTGTTGATTCATCTCAATGTTCACTTTTCAAAATTTCAAACCTTGTATATATATATATATTAAGTTATGCAGTATCAACTATCAAACTTGAAAATAAAAATGTTGCAACTAATTAAAAAAAGGAGTAAAAATTTGACAAGTACACTTGACAAAATCAATGGAAATTCAGCTGACATTACATTTACAATAAAATGGAAAAGATTAGGTGGGTACTGGTACAAGAGGTGGTGAGAAAAACTGGTCTGGCTCGCTAGGAGCCGTCCAAATTGGCGGATAATCCCCATATTGTGATGGTGGAGGAGATAGCCATGGATCAACGAATGGCGGCGTCATACTGAAATCACCACGACTACTACTACTACCATCATCAGGAGGTGTTAGCCATGGCCATGTTGTTGGTGGCTGATCAATATTGCCATTACCATTGTCAGCAGGAGGAGCTTCCCATGGCAATGGTAATGGTGGCTGGTTAATTTCTCCAACAGAAGGTGTTGGCCATGGTAATGGCGACCATGGAAGCCATGGTATTGGTGATGGTTGGTATATATCTCCAAGAGATGGTGGCGGTGGAGTTTGTAGTGGTATCCATGGAGGAAATACAAACCCTATCGGCGAAGATGGAACTGATGACGGTGGTGAGGGTGGAAGCTGAAACACTGGTGGTGGAGATGGTGGCAAGAACGGTGGAGGAAATAATATAGGCGGTGTCATTGGTGGGGATTCAACTATTGGTGGTGGAAAGGGGAGTGCTGATGGTGTTGTAGGTGGTGTGAAGAATGGTGGAAATCCAAACTGCGGTGGCAGAATCGAGACCAACGGAGGAGGCGGAGTAAAGCCAAACTCTGGTGGCTGAATCGAGACCAACGGAGGAGGCGGAGTAAAGCCAAAATCTGGTGGCTGAATTGAGACCAACGGAGGAGGAGGAGTGAAGCCAAACACTGGTGGTGCATACAAGAACGATGGAGGTGGCGGTGAAGGAACAAGTGGAGGTGGTGGTGGGGAACATAGAGGTGGCAGTGGTATCACAGGTGGTTGAGGAAGTATTACAGGTGGTTGAGGAAGTATTACAGGTGCAGGAGGTAGCACTACAGGTGCTGGAGGTAATACCACAGGTGCTGGAGGTAGTACTACAGGTGCGGGAGGTAGTACTACAGGTGCGGGAGGTAGTACTGGTGGTGGAGGTACTATTACAGGTGGTGCAGGTAGAATTACTGATGGTGGTGGCAACAGTAATGGTGCTGGTGGAGGAGGGCAGATAAGTGGGGTAGGAGGCGGTAGTGATGGTGGGAAGAGAAACGGCGGTGGGGGAAGCACAGTTGGAGGCGGCTGGGGAGAAGGTGAAAATGGTGGTGGTGGTGATGGTGTATGGAGAAAAGGATTATGAGGGGAAGGGGAAGTAGGAAAAGGCCATCTCCCACACATATCAAACAAGTAGCCGTAGAAAGGGTCACAATTGCGACCTCTTCTCAGTCTACCACCTCGGCTTCTTCCTCGACTTCTTCCTCTTCCTCTTTGTCTTGATCTGCTTCTTCTTCTCCTACTTGTAGTATGGATTCCACTTCTTTTTCCATCATCTTCTATAGATGATTTTTGCTGTAGGATACTATTAATATTATTTGCATCTGTGATTGCTGCTTGTGCAATCAACAGCAATACTGCCATGATTATAACTACTTTCATCTTTTGCCAAATTTTTGGAGTATGTTACTTGATTTTACGTTATTATAACTTTCATGTATGATTGTTGATATATTGCCTGGATTGTTCAAACTATTTATTAAAAAATTTACTCTTTCAATGGACCTTAGCTGCATGATGACAAATGTCTATGATAACTTAGTTACTCATAATATGCATGCATACTTCGAATACCAAAAAATGTTGTCTTGCTCAGTAAACTACTTAGGTATATAAATGTCACATTAATTACTTAGCCAACTGATTTACTGAGAGAAGTTTCTCAGAAGAAAGTTGCATGTCGCCCAAGTAAACTATAGCTTTCTGTTTGCATGTAGACTAGAAAGGGAGGCTTTCGAGGATGGTGTTATTTAACATCTTCAGCATGCACTGGCTATTCAATGACAGCCTTTGTTTCTACATTCAATGACAGCTTCACCACGTTAAATAAATGAGGGAGTAATAATATTGATTATATAAATCAAAAAAATACCACGTTAAATGCTACGGAGTAATTAAATACTCGTAGATGCTAGATGTGTAAATGTGTTCTACATTCAACATTCTTCTTGTGTTCATTGTTCCAGTTTCTCCAGGTAATTATTTTCTTTATTATTTTTTTTAATAAAAAATTTAAGTTATTTTCCCACAATCTATCTTCTTCATCTCTTTTTTTTTTTTTGGTTCAATTCCAATACTACTGATAATTCCAAAGATTTGTTTTTTCTTCCTAATTAACATAAATACATAATTAATACTTGTCATTGTCATACTTAACTGGGTTCTTGTATTTTCGCTATTTGAATCTCTAAATTTCTCTTTGCAATTCAATGTCACCCTTAATTCACTTGTTTGAATTGGGTCATTGATTTGATTAGTTATTTTTTTCTTGTATATATATAGAATAATTAGTCATTGATTTGTTGCTTAATTTATCGATATTCGATTGGATTATTAATTATTAATGCTTAGGGATTAATAATATATTCAGTTTGTTTTTCTAATTATAGTTTGTTGTTAATGTTAGTAGTATCCAATTTGAGATCTGAAGTTTTGAAAATTCAAGTGTTGGGCAAATACCATTAGAGTTGACTGTGACTCAGTGAAGCAGGAATAAGGTTAGTTTATTTTCTTCAATTTACCTGATTTTTTGTTATTGGATTCAAATTTGTTGAATTATGAATCGAATTTGATTTTGGATTATATAATGTTTGGATGAATTATTTTGATTATTATTTGAAAGGATTCTAAGTCTATTGTTTGGATATTGCTACACTATAACCTTGGTGTAACTGATGAACTATGATTTTTCGAGTTTCGGGTTGATTTGGAATCCATGTGCATTTTTTTAGGTGAAAATTTTACTGATTTACATTTTATTTAACATCCATGAGATTTATCACCTTAACTGTTACTACTTCAGTGATAGTAGTAGAATGAAACTGTATATGATTGACATCGAAAGTTTTTGACTTTGAATTCGTGTGGTAGCTGGTGGTGGTGGTACTTAGATCGTTTCTATGTGGGCTGTTGTTGATTTTTAAGAAAATTGGGTTCTTTTATCAGGGGGCTATTGATTCTTGGCTGTTAAATCCTTTCCAATAGATTAATGAGAGGGGAGGATGGAGTCAAATTTGGTTATGTGATATCGCGAGAGATAAAATAACAAAATGGTTGTGGATTGTTTTTATAATTTTAGTTGTGAATAATTGCTTGCAAAATGATGTTCTTGGGATTGTATTGCTACAAATTTAATTAAAGTCAATTTTAAGTGGAATGGGGCTTGTTAGGAGGTTTATTGCTTCTTGGGTGTTTAATCCATTCAAATAGATTCATGTAAGGGGAGTATGAAGTCAAATTTGGTGATATAACATCAGATGGAATTAAAGAAAAAATGATCGTAGATTTATTTTTTTATTTTAGCTGGTGAATAAATGTTTGCAAAATGTGTTCTTGGGATATTATTTCAACAACAAATTTAATCCAACATTTGAACTTTTATCAATAGCTCTTCTTACTCAACAAAAACAGAAATAGCCATTAAACTGACAAAGGTGGAACTGAGTTTCAAAGCCCCATCAATGGAGAGGCTAAGTCAATTTGATGTTTTCAACTATCCGTAAGACCTCGTGAAAAGGGAAAACATTGAATGATTTTCATCTAGATATTAAGGATATAGGGTATAGTGTGGAGAGAATATATTCAATGAAAATCTTATGAACCTAGTTAGCTTGACTTTCCACTAAGACCATCTGGAAAATAAAGGGCATTGGTTTTCAAAACTTGATACTTGACTGGCACAATTGTCATTTGTCATGATATATTGGAGAGCTTTTTTTAAGATTTTTGTTTGAAATGTTATAATGTGTGTGATGTACTCCGTAGAACTTTATGACTTTGTCCAACTCCTATCTATTATTCGATGAACTAAAAAAATTAATACGGAGTAGTTGTTTTCATGTTAAGTTATTCATTTTACAATGATTTATCGCAGACGGATCATTGTTTACAAATTACAGCTCTCGAAATTTTGGTATGATGGATCACAAAGAAAACCAGGACTCTTTAACAAGTAACTTGGGTAATATTGCACGGAGATGCTTGTTTGGTGTCCTTTCTATGGGACCAATCCCTGATCATATTGCTTTCATTATGGATGGAAACCGAAGATATTCTAGGAGATTGAAATTAGAGGAAGGAGCAGGACATAAGTTAGGCTTTACTGCTCTAATGTCCATGCTTAAGTACTGTTATGAGCTGGAAGTGAAATATATAACTGTATATGCCTTCAGTATCGATAATTTTAAAAGAAGTCCTGAGGAAGTGAAGTTTTTGATGGAGCTTATACAGGAGAAGATTGAAGTCTTGTTAAAAGAAGATAGCATTGTTAACCAATATGGAGTTAGAGTTCATTTTATCGGGGACTTGAGGCTACTAGATGACTCGGTAAGGTTAGCTGCTGAGAAGGCTATGGCAGCCACTGCTGGTAACTCCAAAGCTGTGCTCTCAATTTGCATTGCTTACACTACTACCAATGAGATTGTGAATGCTGTTCAACAATCTTGTGAAGAGAAATGGGATGAACTTAGAATACTAGATTCATGTGGTGCAGCGTATGGGTTAACCGATTATACTGGCAGTGGTCACACGACAGAGAAAAAATCAATAGGTGTGATGGATGTTGAGAAGCATATGTATATGAAAGTTGCTCCTAATCCTGATATTGTGGTTCGGACTTCTGGAGAAAACCGCTTGAGCAATTTTCTTATCTGGCAGAGTGCACACTCCATTCTGTATAGCCCCTCGGTGCTTTGGCCTGAGATTGGTCTTTGGCATATAGTTTGGGCTGTCCTGAATTTCCAAAGAAATCATGCTTGTTCGAGAAGTAAAAAACACGACAATACTGATGATACGAAGTAATACAGTTGCAGGAGCTGGAATCTATGAAGATAAGTGAAGGGTGTAGTTGACGTCTTAATAAGATTATAATGATTAGCAAGATAATCTATGAAGTAGTGTTGTTTACGAAGTAGTTTACATTTTACAACCTATTACTCCATAAATCATTCTCTTCAATTCAAACGAACTCTAAGTTCATATCATGTCCAATTTGGTCCAAATTTTTTAAAAGCTAACAAATCTTGGGCCAACTATATTTTAAAGCAAATGATGGCAAAGGTGCTAGCGTGCTACAGTAGTATTAAGCTAACACTTCGTTACATTTTTGGCCCATTTTGAATATTGAAAATTCTATATTTGATTATTTTCATAAATGATACTCCGTATATAAATTATAATAATAATAATAATAATAATAATAATAATATATATATATATATATATATATTATTTCTTTCAAAAAAAACTATTGAACATTGTACTCCATAAAATTGAGTTAGAAAAATCAAGATTTAGAATCTATAGTCTAAAATCTTTCCATTTTAATTCATATCAATAAATTTGGATTGAATTAGATTGAACTTCATAATGATTTCTTATGGGATAATCTAGTAACATTATCACTGTAAATTTTTTTTTTTTTTTTTTTTTTTTTGGTTTCTATTCATTTTTGAGGAAATTCTTGTTTGACTAAACCTTTTATCACCAAGCAATGTCACTAACTTGGTGGAGTTGTATTAGGATCATGCTACAATTTACCTACCCACTAGAGATAGATTGAGGAATTAAATATACTCTGCTACGTATCAATTTTATCTCTAGTAATAAGTTGATTGTAAAAAAAAAAAAAAAAAAAAAGTTGATTGTCTAATATAGGGGTGAGCATAGGTCGGGTACCCCTACCGTTAACACTATCGATTCGGGTACCCGATAACCAATAACACTAAATATAATATCCATTAATCGAACCGATAAGTTCGGGTACCCGGATTTTCGAATCGGTTATTGGGTACCCAATATGCTATCCAATTATGAAAATTTAGACTTTATAATCTAGATATTATAATATCATTCAACACTAATTAGCAATAATACCACATGATCATGACCAAATTACTAATAATATTACTAACCATTTTAATTATGAAGTGATTATGAAGTAAAGTAAGAGTTTAGATTTTGGATAAATAGATTTAAGTAAGAAAAAAATAATTGCTTATTGGATCGGATCGGGTAACCATTAATTTTAAAATGATACCTACTAACCGTATCCGATAAAAAATTATCAGATCGGATACCCAAACCGTTATGGTTATTGGAACAAATACCCTAATTTTCGATTTTCAGATAATTTTGCTCATCCCTACTAACGAGTATACTTTCTTTTTCCCCTATACTTTTGTATACTTGCTTGAAGACTATTTCAAAACATGGCCTTAGTGATCCTTTAATACGTATAACCTGAGATTTACAGGTCAAGAAATTATCGAATTGTTTAGATTAGAATTTGCTAATGTATGACAATTCATACAAAATTTACGTACCATCTTTTGCAAATTATTTAATTAAGCATTGTCACTACTTCAACTTAAAGGCATATATATACGATATAGACCATATAGTATAGTGATATACATTTCAATGTTGATGAATGTTACTCTAGATAGGTGTGGGCTTGTCAATATAATGCTAGTTTTGACTAAAGTGCGATATTCATTACTATTTTTTTTTTTTCAATTTCTATGAGCTAATGTAATAGGTTCATCTTCCTTAGGCTGAGTTTATTGCAAGTCTTGGAAGGAGTATTGAGATGAGTCTTGAACAAGATTTTTGCAATGTATACAAAGACTACATGGAGTCTTGATAAGAGTTTTGAAATCTAAAACTCATCGTAAGACTCTATAAAAGTACAAAAATTTTATTTTTGCCCAATAGTGAGCTGCCAACTCACCATCTTAAAAATAAGGGTATTTTCATTTTTACCACCTTCAAATAATGACTTTGTCGAATTTACCACCTCCAAAAAAAAAAGATTTACTTTACCACCTCATAAAAAAATAAAACATCAGTTTTACCACCAATCACCTCCAACTAACGGATTCCGTCCATAAATCCGTTAGTGGGGCCTACCTTGCACACGTGTCGCCATATTATTGGGTAAGTTTTAAAAAAAAATTAAAAAAAATCCCCATTAATCAACCGGTGTTGCTGCCACCGTCAGGACCCCCACCGCCGACTAGCCACGACCAGCCCCCACCACCTAACCGCTACGACCAGCCCCCACCACCGCACCGCACAGCCACAACCACCTTTCCACCAATTTTTATTTATTTTTTTGCTCTGTTTTCTCGAAAGCCACAACAATGGCGTCTCTTCCAATGGAGTTAATCACCTCCATTCTTTTCGATTACCCACTAAATCACTACTTCCCTTCAAATGCGTTTCCAAGGCTTGGCATTCCTTAATCAATCAACAGCACCCATTTAATCAGACTTCATCTCGCTCATTCTCTCTCCTCTGACCGTCGTCTTCTTATCCTCAACCATGGAAGTCACCTGGAATCGACTCCATTGAAGTGGGGTTCTGAGCTTGATGCTAAAAACGATTGACAAGGTTTGATTTACCCAATTCTTTTTCTGGTTTTGAGGTTTCGATTTGTGGGTATTGTAATGGATTAATTGCTTTGGTTTGTAGAAATGTTGATGATAATCGATTTGTATCCTTGTTGTTGGTGATTTGGCTTCTTAGTTTTTGGCAGCCACCAAATCCCGACCACCCATAAATCCCCTTCTAATTCCGACCACTCTAAAAACCCTAGCCACCACCAAATTTCGCACTCCTAAAACCCTAACCACCACCTAATTCCGACCACCTCCCTAACCCACACACCAAATTCCGGCCCCTCCTTAGTCACACACGAAATTCCGACCAACCGAGGTAGTTGATTTCGTTGCTGGTTGGTTTACACGGAAGATCGGGGAAGATGAAGAAGAAACGTCAAAAAGGTGGGCCCTACTAACGGATTCGTGGACGGAATCCGTTAGTTGGTGGTAAAATCGATTTTTTGGAAATTTTGTTGGTGGTAAAGTAAATCTTTTTTTTTTGGAGGTGGTAAATTCAATTAAGTGGTTATTTGAAGGTGGTAAAAATGAAAATACCCTAAAAATAATTTATAAAAAAAATTAAATATATAATAAAATGAATGTTAATAAATTAATATAATAAGTAAATCTGGAGTGACTGTTGGAATGTAAAATTGGAGAAAGTCTTATATGAATCTGAATAATAAAAAAATAATTAAAAGTTATTGAAAATCTGATGTGACAGAGTTTGGATTTTAAGTGTTAATCTTGGGATAACTAACCCTTATCTCCAAGTATCCATCATACACTGGCACTATCTCACATTCTCGGCCTTATGTTCTATGAATTTCAACTTCCCAATGATTATTATTTCTATGGAGCAAATTAAAAACATTATTGTCGAATGGTAAAAGTTACCTACAAGAGATCTGATTCGTAAATTGAAATAAGAAAGACTTGATTGGATTGTGTTATGGGTAGAACCAATTATACACAAATACACGCAAGTTGATCTTTAGATGTTTTTTCGGAAAAAAAAGGAAAAAAAACTCCTTTTTAAGTATTGGTGTCCAATAGGGTGAGAAAGTTAGTAAATTAGCAATCTCTATTTCGAGGCCTATTTATACTGTTACGAGGTTAGTTCCTCCTTCTCTAACATCATCCACAAGCATCATTGACTTTCTTAATGACTTTTCCAATTTGTCAACATAAATTATTGTTTCCAAAGGTTTACTTTTCACGATTGGACCGCTTGACTTTTATGGCTTAATCAAAAATCAAAATTAATAACACCATTTGGTCTTTTGACGCATGTCATACCCAATACTAGTAGTAAAGAAAATTACTTTTGAAAGGTGAAAATTTATTTAGGTCAATAGAGAATACTTGGTGTTAATTGTATGTTAATTTTATTTTGGATTAGATAGACTTTTATTCGTATTTTTCTATTACTACATCAACAATGGAGTATTGGATAATGTACCAACTAAAAGCATATAATAGGTCGTTATATTAAAATTATTTTTTAATTAAGGAGTCGAGAGAGATAAAAATATACTTTGTAATAGATATTTAATTTGACATAAAATGATATTAACCAAATTGTTTTTTTCTCTTCTCTTGCTCTCTACTTCCTTTTTTTTTTTTTTTTGTTAGAGCGAGGGATAGGTCAAGTGGTTAGACCTTCCCTTCAGGTTTCAAGAGATCCAGAGATCTATTCTCACCCCCACTACCCTTATGGCTTTCTGAACACCACAAAAAAAAAAAAAAACTAGTTATTTGTTTTTTTTGTAAGCCCTTAACTTCAATTATAGATAGTTAATAATTCTCTACGAAAGATGTCTCCATATGTGGGAGTTTTCTTCCATCTATGTCGAATTATTCATCTCGTCTATAGTATGAATTACAATACTTAATTATTGTTAGATTCATAACAATTGAGAAATTTATCTGGATTCTAAATGGATTACTCGTGAAATCTTGTAGGGAGCATTATGTACATCAATTGTTTAATCCAACTCGAAAAATAATAATTACAACATAGTTTTCGAAAGACTCCGCTTTAAAAGAATGATGCAAAGTCATGTAAAATGTCATGGCATTTGTCTCATTGTACATTATCAAAACACCAAGTTTTATACTTTTTACTAATGAAGGGTAAAGATACATGGTCAAAGTTATAAGTTTAAATATATAAAAGTTCAGATAGAACAACATTATAATAAGACAAAGAAAGTAATAATTAGAGATGTATAGAATATCTTAATATGATTCAAAGTTTTGAAATGTCTTAATTAGATGAAAATGAAATAAATTTCTCATAACTTACATAGGACTCAAAAATTAAAAATTAACTTAATCGAATCATACTCAATTTAGATGATTCGTTTAAAAAGTGTTCTCACTATAAACTTATCTTTTGAAATTGTATATGTAATATGATGTACAAAACTTCATGAGTCAAGAAATAAAAAGAGAAACTAATTTCTATGTTAAGATAAGTTAAAACTATAGTAAAATTAGTTATATGAAATTATTGTTAAAATAATGTAAATATGAATTGAAGTATTTAGATGAACAAGGAACTTTAAAGGTATACGAGTGCATAACTTAAAGATGCACCTCTCACTTTAATTTACTTTGTTTGTGCCATTTTCTAAATTTTCAAAGTTTGATAAGACTACAAGTTTTGGAAATTATAGGCCATATGATGAAGTATTAGGCTGAATTGACAATTAAACACTCACTTCTCTCTCGCATGCATGCTTCATTCATCGTAACTTAAGATTTTCTAAAGGTTGACTTATCATTTGAATTTTAGGCCAAAACAAATAAAAAGAATGTTGGCAAAATTTTCAGCTACGTACAATCTCAAATTATACATATATAATTTTAAATTAATTAAAAGGACTTTGATACCTTATTTATCAAGTAAATTAAAACGAACGAAAACCACTAACTTTCATCAAAAGCCAAGTAAAAATCGACAACAATCACATCCTTGATAACTGATATACATCTTTCTTAATTTTTTTTATTGTTATTCTAGATAAGTGACCTATAAACATAAGAAATGTCATAAGGTCAAAGTATAAGTATATTTCAATACGGAGTACGAAGGTGTTTTTTTTTTTTTTTTTTGGGTTGGACTAAATTTCAATATTGGACTGATAAAGGCCCAAACTCATTTGGCAAAAACACAAGGTAACGTAAAGCCCAAGAACTTCAACTTTTGTACGCAACAACATACGCCAACATACTTGTCCACTCAATGCAACCGCTTTCTCTCTCCACAAATTCAACCCCAAATTCATTCATCAATTCTCCAAATCAATTCATCCAAACTCCAGAAAATCAAAAAACCCAGAATCCCAATTTCACAATCAAACCTTCAAAGATGCCGAAGAAGATGGGTGTAAACAGCAAAGCCGAGGACGCCAAAGCTCGAAAAGCCGCCGCAGAAGCCGAGAAGAAGGCTCAAGAAGCCAAGCAAAAGGAAGACCAGTACTGGCGCGAAGCCGAAGGCTCCAAATCCAGAGCCGCCAAGAAACGCGAGGAAGAAGAGCAGAAACGCGCCGAAGCCGCGGCTAAGAAAGCCGAGGCGCGCCGATTAGCCGAGCAAGAGGAGCAAGAAATTGAGAAGTCCCTGAAAAAGCTTGATAAGAAGGCGAATAGGGTTATGGGGGCGACGCCGACGAAGGTTACGGAGGCGGAGTTGCGGCGGAGGAAGGAGAAAGAGGAGGAGGAGATGCGGCGGAAGGCGGAGGAGGCGAAGAAGAAGCAGAGTAGGATGGCGGGAGAAGATGAGTATGAGAAGATTGTGTTGGTTGAGAATCGGAATAGAGAAGGTGATTTGATTGAGGCTCATACTGTTGAAGAAGCTCTTGCTCAGATTTCTGTTGCTGATACTTTGCCTGTTGATAAGCATCCTGAGAAGAGACTTAAGGCTTCTTTTAAGGTAATTATAAATCATATTGATCCTCGTGTGATTTTGTCGTGTATTCCTAAATCAATGCTCGTAGTATGTAAGGTGTTCAGTTTAATTTAGGGTTTTGTAGGAATTTTTAGTGAATTCTTATTGTTATTTAATTTTGTGGGTGAATGATGGTACTATTGATGGTTATGATTTAGCACAGGTTAATTGGTATTTCAATTTTACGGTATTTTATCAATGCGGGATGTGTTATACACTTATACTCCCTCCATTCCCCAAGAGATTGGGTGTGTTCACGTTTAAGAAAAAGGTGAATAATAGTTGAAGTGGGTGTGTGTGAGAAGAATGTGTGGATAAATTATGGGGCAAGGAGGCGTAAGATGGTATATTGTGTTTGTTGATGTAGAATGAAGTTGAAACGAGTAAAACAAAAGGTGGGTATGACAATTAAGAACAAAGGGAGTGTGTTTATATTGGTGGTGGAACAAAAGATTATAGTGATGGATGATTAACTGCTTAATGGTCAAATAAAATTCATGTCTTTGATAGTTTGATGGGCCAATGGTGATATTATTTGCATAGACTATAGAGGGTGCGGTTTAGGTGAATCGGTGAATGTCATGGTAATTAATCTTTGTGGTCAGTGTTTCTTGGTGAATTCTATTAGCTTGTCCGTTGTGATTTAGTTGTATACCATTTAGTGATTAATAATTTCATTGTCTGCTTGCCCTTGATTTTGGAAGGGATGCTCTTTCTTGTTCCTATCACAAAACCTTCATCTTATTTTCTTTGTGAGCCCTCTAGTCACAGTCCTTGTTTGGCAATTAGAGGTTAGCTAGTTTGACTAGATGGTTGTATAAAAGTATTTGGTATATATTTGTTAGCCGATTGCTACTTTATCAAAAGCTCCTACAACTTGTGTGTGATTTTGGTTTAGCGTTGAGTGATTTATTCTCAGTGTTATTCTTTTTTTTTTTGTTAAATGTGTATGTTTATTTTCTGAAGGCTGTATGTGCTCATGACTTTTTGACTTCATAGGCTTTTGAAGAAGCTGAATTACCAAGGCTGAAGGCTGACAAACCAGGTCTGACACACACTCAGTATAAGGAAATGATATGGAAACTGTGGAAGAAATCTCCTGACAACCCTCTCAACAGAGTAAGAAATTATGTCATTAGTTTACCTCTGTGGAATTATCTTCAATGTTTTTGTTACTAGTATAGTACTGTAGTATTTGCAAGTTTGCTACTTTGAGCTACTAGTATTTGATCGTAAGGGATGGAGGAGGAAGATTCTTCTGGATGACTAAATAATCACTTTTGGTTCATGTAGTCGTCCCCACTTATAGGGTTAGGGCTTTGATTGATTGATTGATATAGTAGTATTTGCATGTTTGCTACTTTTAGCTACTAGTATTTGGAGTAGTTAACCTGTTTGGATGTGGTATCTGCATGTGTGGTGTACTGTTTTGATGCTGATGCTATAAATATTTCACTTATGGTATTGAATCTTCTTAGAAGTGTAATTTATTTGAAGACAGAAGAGAGCAAGTGTAGGTGAAATTTTTTGTCAGAGATCTATGAAAATATAACTTGATGGGATAATAAATTGTTTTTTCTTTCTTTGAAGCCACGTGCAGCACTGAGATACTCTGTGTTTGAATTGCTCTGCTTTCACATGTATATGCTAGTTAAAAATCAAAATTCAGTAAGGGAGAATTAAGATGCCTTAAAGCTCAAAAGAAGTACTACTGTCTACTGATGCATTGTTGATTTATTATGCGTGTACCAAGCCACTGTGTTATTGAAATTATTAGTCTAGTTTATGGTCATCCAGTATTCCGGTCATGAGGAAGCTATTCTGTAGTTTTGCTGGAAGATTATGTTATACTGATTTAAAATCTGTTTCTGGGGCTGTATTTGATGAATGTTATGCATCCCTTGATCTTTGTGATTATCTTTTTCACATCCTACAAATTTGTGATTTGTTTGATGCTAAAGTAGTGTTCACTCAATAGAGTGTTAAAATATATTCGTAAAGTTCTATTCTGTAGATTAGGGTCTTTGGGGATGGGGATTATCTTCATGCAATCAATACAGATTCCATGACATGGTGAAAGTGATACATGGTCATTGATTCTGAAGCTTGCAGTGTAAGTTGGGAGGTAATGAGGTTGTTCCTTTTTGTGACTGGCTGAATATTTCTCCCTTTTACGAGTTCTAGGTTTGGATTCAGAGGGCTTCTTTATAACACTATGTTTGGATAACAATAGTGAAGGGAAAGGGAGGGGAAGGAAAAAGAGGGAAGGGAAAGAGAGGTGAGGGGAGGGAGAAGGTGAAGGAAAATGGCTCCTTCCAATTCCCTCACCTTCCCTCCTTGCATTAGGTATCCTAATAAAGAATGATGTATCCTTCCTTTCCCTCCATTACTAATAAAGAATGATGCATCCTAATAAAGAATGATCCAAACATAGTCTAAGTGAGAGGCAAAATGACAGTTTGCATAGGTTAAAGTCCAGTGTATTATTTGATGGGTAGGGAGTGTAATCAGTGTATAAGTGGGGGAAGATGCAGGATGATTGCCTTAGGGTTCGTTCTATGTAGATGGTTAAAATAGAAGCTCAAGCTGTACAAGGCATGAATTGGGGAAAAATGCAGGATACTTGAAAACAGAGCTAGCAGTTAGCATGAACTAGGTATTAATACCAATTGTGTGTAACTGCAGCAAAAACTTAGTAGCACAAAATTGGTTTTTTGTTTTTGTTAAAAAAAACTTTGTTTAGCTACTTGCACCATTGTTGCAAATTGACATCTTACATATGCCTGTATATTTTTTTGCTGACTGTCAAAATCTGTGTCCTGAACAGGTTGAAGAATGATGTGTGATAAGGAGGCTGTAACCGTAGAATTACACTGGCATTCTGAAGAACACTATCAATAACTGCGACACATTCTCTGTATGAGTAATCTATTCCTGGACTACTATATGCAAATCTGATCATTTCTTTCAAGGCTCCACCAAGAATCTGTGTGCATATGGTGTGCCTTTAGTAATAAAGCTTCCTCCTCTTTGGAATCCCCCTCCCCTCATTTTGTCGTAGTTGCACTGTGTTACATGATTGGATCAGGCTGTTAACTTATTCTTATACTGTGTACCATAGCTAGAGTGTTGACATTTGAGGCTTTTGCTATCTTGGCACTTTACATATTAAGTTTTATAATGTGAATGCCGAATTTGATGCTCAAACTTCTATGAAAGTGTGAAGATGGTTATTCTGGTATGAGTAGTATTGTATTGAATTTTCTGTATGAGTAGCATCATTCAAGATCTTACTTTTAGGCCTGGCTCTTGCATTGTGGACTGATTATAACTAACTCGAACAGGAATGAAATTCAAAATCATTTACATAGTCATAAAGAATACACAAAGAAGCTCAAAGTAACTTAATGATCTATCATTAAGTTACTTTTTTGTTCCAAAAAAAAAAAAAACAAAAAACTTAATGATAGATTTCAACACCAAAATATAAGAAAAATAAATGTACATTAACACTGTACATGGCCAGAATATATACGAAGTATGAAAAGAAGCTAAGCTAACTTAACACCTTTGGGGATTCATGTAAAACGAAGCTAACTTAACACCTTTGGGGACTCATGTAAAACGTTTGGATTAATCATCATATAGCTAGATTATTGTCCTTTGGGGTGGAACAGGTTTGGATTAATCATTGTCCATGTACTACTCTCAGACATGTTGAACAAAACTTAACACCTCATTTGGTATGTGGTAGTGGACTAAAGATAGTGATCATACAAAGTTTGTGAAGAAATTCTCAGGCCAATACCCAGGGTAGTGCTAGTCAATACTTAATTAGATCTAATATTATGTGCTAATGGAAATTTATGAAAAAATATTAAGGTTTGAGGATGGAGTTCTGTTGACATGGTGATGAGACTAAGAAGTTCCTTGCAAAATTACACTTAAATTTATTACAATTTCCATAATTTATAACCGTTAAACAAACGGACTTTAGGAAGAATTGTATGATCAGAAAGAAGTTTCAAGAGCAATGGGAATAGAAGAATAAATACAACACATTCATTAAGTTGGCATTCAAGTTGTTTACCATTTTTTCTTAAAAAACAAATTCAATCCTCAAGTTACTTAAAGAATTAAGACCCCAAGAAGGGGTCAATTCACACTTCTTGCCCCTTCTCTGGTAGATCATGCACAACGAATTTACCTCCATGGCAAGTACAACAGATCACTTGCTAGCCCTACCGCAGAGAAGGGCGTTATCAGGTATCTGGTATTCATCCCTGAGTGAACGCGTAGGCGTATAAACTCTTAAATAAAATTGTTCTCCGAGGTATTGTCGTGCCCAGAATTGAGTCCTTACATTCCACATGCCAACATTGTCCAATGATAAATACACTGCGGTCCAGGATCTTGAATATACCTACAACAAAGAGTAAAAAGGACCATAAATAATGCCCAAAGGTGAATTGTTTGTTTAACTTAATGGCATTAACTACCTTACCTGTACAGTGCAACGCGATATTGCATCATGTAGATTGTACTGTCCGCGCTTCTCTGCTGACCATTTTCCGCCATCCATCCTGCCGTACATTCAACAATATTATCAAACAATATGAGTCACCATAGGCAAGGTTAGAAGAGGTTCAAATACATAAACAGAAGGCAAAAATTATTACTAATGAGCAAATATATAGTTCCATACTAGTCAAGAAAACTATCAACATTTTGTTTCTTGTAAGCTGCCATTTTTAGCCTGATTTGTCCTAAAAGACTTGTTAACAACTTAATGGTGGTTTAAAAACTGGCTTACCCAACGACGAAGAAGTTGTAGCCATCAAGGTGCCAAGTTTGTACAATGTTCTCTTTGTTCTCAAAAACAATCTCTATAAATGTCCTGTAGTCAGCACCCATCACTCCTGTGTCAAGATACATACTTTTCCCCGTAGGGTGATCAGGTATGCTGTTGACGCGAAACACGCCTTGAATGTTAAAGTAGTCTGCTAGCTTAAGGGGAGTATCTGCTGGAATAAAAGAAACACTGTTGACGGCATATCTTTGTTTTCCATTCACTTGAGCTGCAGAGCTCATTAGCCTGATTGTTCTGCTCAATGGGATTTCTCCATAGTGGTAGGATCCTTGTGGGTTTGGCCTCGGTCCACTTGCTGTTAAATTAGTCCTAGTAATCATAGGATTTGATATATATTAGTTCAAGGATCAATCAAAGCAAACATAATTTCCTCAATTAGTACTAAAATACTCTGTAGATGAGAATGCACTAGTTTATTGTTTATACTACCTTATAGTACGTGCTTGTGCAAGGGACCAACCGATTTCGGTGGTGGGTCCACCAGGAGGAGGGCCGGATACAGCATGGTTGGAGCCTTGATAGTGGAGGATCCCGGTGGTTGTATGGATCACATCATTGAACCGGGTTGATACCGCGATGTAGTAGTCTTTGACCTCCTGATCTGCTGTGACTAAGACGGAGTAAGATTGACCAACATGGATATCCAATGATGAATATAGTTGCTGCATGGTGTGAGTCCCCTCCACTTCTACTAGCTTCATCTTATGGCCTTGAAATCTGATGTTGAGTGTGTTTTGTAGACCAACATTTGATATCCGAAACCTGTATGTCTTACCTGCCATTTTTTGTAAAAAAGGTTGCGTATAAGCATTAAATAGACTTTCTAGAATAACATATGAACACATATTAATCACTAAGGTTAACATTTTATACCCTTTTCAACTGTGAAAACTGCATCGTTTGCACGTCGACCATTGATATGAACCCCATCAGGGAAGTGAAGCCTCTTTCCATTGTCCAAAATTGCCTTCAATTTCTGCAATCATAGTACATTAGTAGCTACCTCTAAAATTGATATGTCAAAACAACTTTCTCCGGTTTTGTGGGAGTCGAAATGTCGCTATAACAATTATTTAGAACTAAAAACACGACAGCTAAATTTAAATGAATTAACTCTACTAAATTGTATACGTAGATTGAGGTCTAATAATAAAAGCAAAATTGTTTAGTAATAATCGAGAATGGTAGAGTCGTAAATATACCTTGTGGTTAGTTCTGTACCAATCACCGATGAGAACGGTAAAGTCATCAGCAGGGGGAGGGAAGGGAACAGGAATGAGAGGCCTGCTAAGAACCCTAATTCCTCCAAACCCACCAGCAGCCTTGTGAAAGGCTGTAGAAGGGAAGTAGAAGTAACTTCCAATTTGATCTTTCACTTGTAATTTGTAGGTGAAATTCTGTCCAGGAGGAATTGGACATGTAGTTCCATACACTCCATCTTCAAATGAATTCTTCCTTTGTTGGATACCATCCCTACATCATCAAATGTCTGTAAAAATAACTTATTTTTGTGCATCCAATACATCGAATAAGTTCAACTATTAATATTATTAATCTATTGATTCAATATTGTGAACGAGCTTTTTAATATGATCGATTCAATAAAGATGTTCCTAACTAGGATCGATGTTCATAAAGTAATAATAAGGATCTTCGTACCACATTGACAATTGTGGTATTTGATTTTATTAATGTTTAATTTACATGAAGTCATGACTTTTGTGCTAATGCAAGAAGCTAAGTTAAGTAGAGAATAGTCACTAGTCAGAGATTGCACGTAGTTTGTTTCAGCCAGCTAGTTACTTGCGTTGATAATAAAGTTTGGCGGTTAAGGTTTGTAGTAACTTTGCAGTGCGTGGTAAGCAATTTGTTTCTAACTGTCAATTTTTTTACGTGCACGCACCGTTAAAATAATATTCATGCACATATCATGAATCGAAATAATTATTTTTTTTGCTAGTCAGTATTTTTCTTTATCTTTCATGTTATATTTAGGTATATATTATGTACTTTAAGGGGAAGCTATTAGTTTCTCAGCTGGTAAAATGTCATTGGGATATTTCTTTTTTAATTAAAATGAAACGGGTATAGTCCAAGCTCCTATTGGTATATGAGTATGTGTTTTATGTTTTTTATTATAATAAAACGGTATAGTCCAAGCTCCTATTGGTATATGAGTATGTGTTTTATGTTTTTTATTATAATAAAACGGTATAGTCCAAGCTCCTATCACAAAAATTCCCTTATATGGGCAGGTGATTTGAGCCCTTACTTCTACAAAAAATAAGGTTCATATAATCCTTTAATCTCTCTATATAACCCTACACATGACAATGATACTTGTACAAGCAATATATGTAAGTTAATACTATAACATTTTTTATTTTATCAGTATAGAGCATGTTACGTGTAAAATGAAGAATAATGTATATAAAGGATTGACTTAGGATTATTAGCAAAGCTTTGCTACAAAATACGTACCCAAACAAAACTACACTTTAAAAATTGAGTATGACATAAATAAGTATAAACCGTCTAAACTATTCTCACCCAAGATGGTTACAAACAAAAAAATTTCTCGTTTTAAAATTTTGTATTGCTTTTGGAGGTTCTTAACATGAAATAACAAATCATTAATAATTTTTTATTTTTCTTCTTCAATTAATCTAATTTTGCAAAATAATTATACATCATACGTTGCACATTAGCAGTAGGTAACTATATACGAATAGTGTAGATACTGTATTTTGCATGCTTGAAATAATTGTGCCACCTATTTACTTTATACCGACCTACCTCTAATAATACATATATAGAGGAAAAAGTAATATCAATAAATACTACTTGTATATTACTCATAAATTTATATAACAATATAGTTTTACATATAAACTTTATGTGTCTCCAATAATAATATTTGCCCTTTAAATTGCTTTTTAGATAAAAAAGAAATAGTTAGCTGTATGCAAGTTGAGTGCACTCATGATTATACCACTCACGTTTTTTCCATTGACGGAAATTTTGTTGGGGACAACTAGGACCTTAGTTTAAAGCTAAATTGAGTACTTAACTATTTTAAAGACTTACTTTTAATTATTTCTTTTTGTCTTTAATTAGATTTCCTCTTTGGTCAACAAGAGGGAGTAAGTTCAAATTTGTTAAAAGATTGGTTCATAGACAAAATTTCAACATCTCACATAAGAATAACAAAGTTACTTTTAATTATTGTGTTTTGAAGTTACTTTTTGGCATAAAGCGATTAATTGTGTTAGAAATATGATATCTTAGTCATTAGGAAAATATATTGCATTTCCATATTGATATTAGGATTGATTTGGTAAATAATATCATTAGTGATATATTTTCCTAATGTCTAAGATGTCATATCTCTAAGGACTCTAACAAATAAGGGTCGTGATTTGA